GTGTGTGTGTGTGTGTGTGTGTATGTGTGTGTGTGTGTGTGTGTGTTCTTTTGAAGTACAATGTTGTGTTATAGTAATCCTTGCTCACCATGGGGAGGTAGGAATAGGACTTCAAACAGGGTAGATCTATATAGTTATCATTTTATGTTGCATGTCAATTGAAGGCCTCAGTGGAAAAACGATCAGGATCACACTTTTTCACTTTTGAGTAAACACAATTTTTAGATCTAAAACTCTACAAAAAAGTAAAAATTGATGTGAAATGGCTGAAACTGATTTATATGAGATGTTTAAACATATTCTGATGATAGTTTAATGAATAATATGATAATATTTGAAAGGCCATAGCTCCATTTAGCCACATCGATACCAACAGGGGGCGAGCTTATGATCAGCTTCTCCGACAGGTAACTTATTTTATGACCTTGGACGAATTCGAGATCCCCCTCTTTTTTCCTTTTCAACCCTTTCAATGCGGCCTGTAAATAGGCCCCTCTGCCGGGGGAAATCCTGTGAACCAAGGCACTCGGGTGACCCCTCTCTACATCCCATAACTTCTGCATTTATGAATATTTCCTCATGCATTTCTGCAAGTCTATTTTACATTGAACCATGTTTCTATTGATATAATTTTAGGGAGGTTTGTTTATAGAGATAGATGGAGAAAAGTTGTAGTTAGTTGTATGATACAAAAAAACAACCCCACTAAACAACATAATAACACACGTTTGGATAATGATAAACTGGGGCCATAAAAAGGAGAATACAATGTCATGTTGTGTGAGTGTATATGTAAGCCCAACTGAGTTTGCTGCCAATACATCATTAAAATTTGTGTGCTTTAGATTTGATAGTTTTAGAGCTAGATCTAGGTCTAATCTTCTCTTTGAGCTAAAATATGAACCTAGCGCTTTCAAATGGGGAGAAAACGGAGGTAAACATATAGGGAAGGTACCTCAATAATAATTACAAGATTTTAGCAGTGACGAGCCATGGGTACAACTACAACGGTACACCGTTCAGGCCCGTACATTCTAGAGGTCAAAATATGTGTGTTTGTACACCCCGATCGTCGCAATTTAAATAATTTAGGAGACCAGTTTGCGATCTTGCCTGTCAGGCCAAATCCGGCCGAGAGGGATACGACATCTTAGCGGAATGACCTAGATCTAGATATTCAAGGAAGATTCTCCCCGCCACACGGGACTAGAACTTTAGGATAGGGTCTCCAACGTGCGACAGCGAAGCACCCATTCGCTACACCAAAGACACCGGTAGAGCTCTTCTCCTGTGGTAACGCTTCTGAAACCTTTTACCTACTAGTATATGGATGTAGGTTTGAACTGGTAGTTTTTACTTACTTTCTTACTCTCATTTCTTTCTGTCTATAAATTTTGTCCCCCCCCCCCCTTTTTTGAAAGGTGTCAGGTTTGGAGCGACTGTGAGTAATTGGTAATCATGGTACCCATTCGTGTCCATTGTCCGCCTTCCTGATCAGCTCGGTTCTTCTCATTGTGCTATTTATTGCACAGCTGTTGAGGCAATCGGTGAATGTTGTTCTTTTATTCCCTCTTCTCTTCTTTCCCTCCTTCTTTCCATGCAGCAACGTTAAACGCCCGTTATTTTGTTGATGGGCTTTTCTTTAATCAAACAGGTAGGTATATTATCTTCCTCAGCCTACGCTGTGCCTAGTGCTGGGTTCTGTCTATCTATCTGTCTATCCACACACACACACACACACACACACACACACACACACACACACACATACACAAACACACACATACACACACACATACACACAC